GAAAACATAATTTTGAAAAATTGGCAGTTTTGTGAAAATTTCAAAAATGTGGCACTTTTGTAAAGTGTTACTTGAAAAGTGGCATTTTTTAAAATTTCTTTTTATTTATAAAGGGTACAATTGATCAGATCAAATGATAAATTTGTTGCCCATCTTTTCTTACGAATACACTTTCGTCTTTTGTTAATAGCAACTTAAGAAATTGTCATATTTAAAAATATATTTATTTTTCTCACCATTATTATTAACCAAATTAACACAATTATAACTTTTTTTTATGTTTATGTTAAAGTATTGTAGTTAAATAATGTAGTAATATAGTTACCTCATTAATAACTTATACTTCGAATAGTTGAAGACTTGAAGTTGCAGAAAAGTATAGTTGTAGTTGACTCGAAAACAAACATCGAACAAATACGATAATTAAACAGCTGTTTTCTTAAAACAACATGCAGTGCGAATTTATTAAATCTAAATTTTAACACCATAACAGATCATTAAAACATTAAACTTAAATCCGAATAGTGAACAAAAGAAATCAGATTAAATCAATAAAATTGTTGAAACACGGATGAATCCGTAACAACCATTCAATATATAAAAAATAAGAACAAGATGGTCTTGATATCACGACCAACGTATCACGACCTTAAAGTCCTATATACTATATTATCATTGGACCTTGTGTAGTCAGTTACAGTTTATTTAGTTTTACATCAGCTAATGCTAGTTGATAATATGGTTTCATTATATTAGCTTATTCTAAAAGACTTCTATTATTTTTAGCTCCTCGTGATAAATAACAATTTGACTTTTAAAGTCAAGTCTTTAATAGTTGTAAGAAATTCGTTTTGACCACCACGACGATTCAGTTAGACGCAAAATAATATTCATCATTTTCTAGAATAGCTTGGTGAGACGTCGTAATCATCATATGTACATGGACTAAACTGTGTGTAAATTTTGGTTATTTCAGAGAAATTTTGGGGAAATTGCTGCAACTATAGCTCCACTACTACTCACTCTACTCCCATCGTAACCACAATGGTAATTTCATAAAAGATGAAAACAAATATTTCTAGTTTAGATTATTTTTCCTTTTTTACCTTCAATTTTTCTTTATAAATTTTCTTTAGTTTTGGTCCGTCTAACACGATGAGTCGATCATTTTCAAAGTGAGCTTCCAAGCAAAGAAGATGGTTCAAAGGGATTTGACTTCTCAAATAATTTAAGAGTTTGAAAGGACTTTTAAAATATATTTGGGTTTTTGACCCAAAAAAACATTATAGACTTGGGTTTTCCAAAAAAATAGTTCTACTTTTATTGAAGAAAATTTCGTTTCAATACTATTTTCAACAAAAAACATTATAAAACATGTCCACTTCAATCACACACTTACCTCGTTGCAGTAAATGAACGGTGTAATCCAGAACGCATGGTGTACTAGATTTTTTCATTTCTAATGTTTTCAAATCTTGTCGCCCGCTCTTTTGTAATCTTTTGCTCCATGAATGGTAAAAATCAAAAACTTTAGATGGAAAACAAAAAAAAAAAGTTTTCAAATCTCATCCGAACAGTGAAACATGTAATTGTATGGGTTATTGAATCCCGATTTGATCTGGAAGGTCAATAGATTAGTTATATATATTATAGAGGACATTTACAAAAATGTCATTTTTTGTGTCCACATTTGTAAAAATGTCATTTTTGGTGTTTATTTGCAAAAATGCCACTAATTATGATTTTTTAGAGCCTAAATCTTAAAATTCTAAACTCTAAAAAATATTTTGACCTCTAAACCCCTTTAAACCTTTAAAACTAAACTCTAATACAACATAGTTAACCCAAACATAAATGATATAATGAATAAATAATTTTGAAAAATGGCATTTTTGTAAATATTATAAAAAATTGGTATTTTTGTAAAGTGACACTTGAAAAGTGGCAATTTTTTAAAATTTCTCTATATTATATGATTATGATATAAATAATAATGTGACTAAACATTATAAAGTCAAATAAACCAAGAGATAAATAATAAAATCGTACTAAATTGTTAATGACGCTAATAAACTAATATCGCATCACATCAACCATATATATTTTTAATCAAGTTAAGTTATCTTTGTCACTGTTTTTTTTTTCTTCCATGCGGCATACTGAAATCTTCACCGAAATGTAATAAAAAAATTTAGAGAATCACAAGCACTGTGGACGTGTTGGAAATTTCTATGAAATAATACATGTATGGTTGAACGAGTAATCTTTGGCTACAAGTCAGTCCGTTTTTGCTGGGGTTTTTTTAATTTTTCCAAATTTATAAGAAGTTGGATTTACCAGCCAAACCGCGGGTTTGGATCAGATATGAAAATATTGCATTTTTCTGATTTACGAATACAACTCCTGCATTGAACGCTTTTTAGAACGTTGTTCTGTATATTGAAGGCCTAGACGGACGCTTATAACTCTTTTTACAACACTGTTAGCGACAGATCAAGTGCAACGAAGTACAACTAATCTCATCATCACAAGTGCAAAGAAGTTTGTGATCTTTTAAAATTTCTTAAAAATTTTGGGTTTAAAAAAAAAATGATATTCAAGAGGATTTCTCTAGTGTTGGTGTATTGCACTTTAAAAGT